TATCGAGATTTTATAAGGTTCGTAGATATACACAGGTGTTCTTAGTTTATCATAATTATACATGCACGTCTTACCGTGCTTCGTTACGAATACTTATTGTTGTCTACATTAACAATATCTTCATTAATTAGTAGGTTGTTCAACCAGTGTGTGCATATATTGTGCATGCTATGCCAAGTAAATGGGCTCAAGAGAATCAGAAAAAAAATATATCCTCAACACACAAACAAAACCTCTGAACTCAAAATCGTCACAAAATTTGCAATAATGAACAGCCTCAGAAACTAAAAACAAGACGCAAGGGACCTTGATTTTCTTAATATATGAATACTGCTATTTATAACTCTAATCTTCGAAACGGGCATCAGGTACGAAACATATTAGAATTTAAGTAAACATTGTATTACTTATTTCTGCAGCATCAAGCTTAGGTGACGAGTCTATATTAATCACCAACCACAATTCCAATGAACTAATTATGGTATTTCATATATCTAATACCAATGAACAGACATCAACTTTTTATTGTTTAATATATATTTGAATACTTATGCACTAGGTAAATATGTATATTTTACTTCTTTGATATTTCAGATTTATTTTGTATATTGCGATTAAATACAGATAGAAACGTTAAAAGGTGCCTTCAGATACATTCAACATTATATATTTCTAATCTTTTTGATATGTATTGTCTGCTTAATATTTAACAATAAATATTTATCTCAACATCCTCTCTTGTATATCAATTATAACAAAGATAGGACATTTTTTGTTATATGATATTTCAAATGAGTTAGAGAATATCTAGAGCAAAATATGACTGTTTTCATTAAAAATACATTATAAAAGTCACGTATTTTTGACAGAGAATAGGACAAGACGAGTTGTAGTGTGATACACCGAGCTTTAATTCAATGAAATAGGATGCTATTTAAGAGGTATTGACAATGTACTCTGGCGACGATCAGGACGTTCACGTGTACGCACGGATTTGACACCGTCAGCCCGACTTCATGGCTAACTTGGTACATGACGATTCCTGAGTGAAGTAGATACATTTGATGATTCCGAAGTGTCATAGCGTAATGTAGTCTATACCTAAATAATAGAATTAAATGACTAGTAACTCAGTGTATTGTCATTTATTGTTTAAAAAAACCCGGAGACGTAACATTGTTGAATCCTTTAAGAAAACATAAAACTCTTTGAACTTTTGATCATACAAATTGCATTCCATAATTTATAAGGTGCGAAAGAAAATACAACAATAAATTCGCACAGACGCATATTCACTTTGTCTGCTTTTTATGACGAGACAAAATGGTTAATTATCGTTTTGAACGAAATGATCTTTTTATTGGATACTTAAAAATACATTTTTTACAATGTTTTTCAAATGGTGACAGTTTCCAACGTCATTATTGGCATGGGAAATGGGGGTAGATTGGTTTTCGCTTCAATCATTCTTTCCTCTGAAGATTTCTTTACAACGTCAATTAGTTGATACTTTAGGGTTTTCTTAATATCAACCATTGTTAAGCCTTACGTCAATCGCAACTATATCCATTATGGATGCTTATATGATAATCTTTTATTTCTGACAGAAGTCTGTATTTTACATTATTAATAACCTGTCAGATAAATATTCTGTGGTAAGATCAATTCTTAAATGGAATGTTTGCATCTAAACGGTTTTTAGGATCTTCTTTTGTTTATTCTTTAAGTTTTTTTTAAAGATTTCAATTGAGCATCAAGAGAAGAAAAACAGTAAGAAAAATTACAGTCGTGACACGTTCTTCTAATCACAGCATTTCGGTCTATAATAGCAGGTCCACCACGTGCACATTAGTGTCTAATTCATTTATTTCTTAATTTTTTAAATTTCTAAGAAAATACATTAATGTTTTTGTTATATGTAATCTTTGTTTGATGCAAAATCAATGTTCGTTTTTGTCAGACTATTTTTATATTATCTTACATAAATGATATCCGTATAAGTTAGCAGGTAATTCAGTTATTCATTATTAATATTAGATATACAATTCGGAGAGTGCCTTTTTAAAATAAAGCTTAACTGAATTTCTCACCATTATAAAGCATAGATATATTTCGCTCTTGCAAAGTCAGTGTGTTAGTGAGTTCTTAGATATAGCACTTTCATCAAAACATTTAGTGGAACACAAGTATAACAGTATTATTTATTAACATTTTTATGCAATTTTGACCGTTTTAAAGGCCCCTTTTCATGCAATAAATGGGAATATTCTTTTTGATGGCTATAATAAACTCCAGCAAATGGTAGGGATATCCACAAAGAAAATGTATTTAACTGAAATAAGAAAAAATGCGCACATTTGTTAATAAACAAGTTAAAATTAGGAAAAGTTGTTCAATGGCCTCGGAATGTTTACATTCAATGTTTTTGAACATTGTGAAGGTTATGTCTATCAAAAAGTTTAAACAATTTTAATGCATATCACTTAAAATAACAAGTCATATCATTAATATGCTAAATATTAACATGATGACACAATTATTTTAACTATTCTGATGTAAAATCGAGATATGGCCCTACATCAAAATAAATTAGCTGTATTTATAAAAAGATATTTTACGATCTTAGTTATCTTGCACAAATGAAGCGGTTAAGGATAAAACCGTTGAAAGTTGGCCATGGGAAGATTATTTGATGAATTGCAAAAAATAAACCTAAACGTTAATGGTCTGTTTGACTGATGGTTTTCATTAAATAATTATATATGATTTACCTTAACTACGAATCCAAAAATTATGAAGCCATGAGAAATATAGCGAACTAAATGCTAATCATAAGAAAATGGCAAATCATAAGTGACTATCCTTTACATTAATTGGTTTCTAATTGGAGCCGTTTCTAATTTCGATGTTACATAACCCATTCTAGAGCAGCTATGTTACAGGACGAAGGCGGCACTGACATAAGCGATTTGTGCGTATTTCAGAACAAGACGTTTCTGTGCCAGGCCAGATGCACGATGACTCTAAATTGAGATTTATTGTTTCCAAGTCAGTGCAGATAAAGACTGATCCCATAGTAAGTATAAGAAATTCACAAACACAGACGAACAGCCAGTGAAGGACAGGCACACATGTACATTTTCTCATTGAGATTAATTACTTTCTACCAATTGAAACGAAGTTTGATCTCAACAGCCCCATTAAGTTAATATTCGATACCAGATTTAAATGTTGTCGGCTGGAGTCTCTCTTCGTGGTCCTGGTTTTTTCTTTGAAATAAATTGGGAACCTATTTTCTTCTATGAAATACGAACTATTAAAGACAGAATTCAGCACGTGTAAGACGCACGACACACACACATCACAGGGTAAACTAGGGCCGTGTGTGTATCCTATTTTAGATTCCATTAATCTTTCAAAGATATAACCGTATTTCACAAGATCAACTTAATACTGAAAAATACCTTTACAAAGCTTTGATCACCATTTTTCTTTTCTTTTTTTACATAATCAAAATATCAATGTTGGTTTTGTTTACTTAAAAACGTTCAAGCTGTTCTCTCATTTTATGAATGCATTAACTCTAATATGTTATTAAATTGATTATGCTTTAGTTATATTTTTCAAAACTAACTTATAAGAAATTATGTTTAAAAAGTATGAATACGTTTATGTTTTGACAATCATAGAAATTTTATATTTCTTCTATGGGTAATGCGTTGTTTACGCTAGTTCCATACAATGTACAATTTTTAAATATGTTTAATTCACATTTTCGAAAGTCCATCACCTCCATTTTCATCATTCGTGATATAGAAATTTCAAACTATTATTGTCTGTGCATACTGGATGAATAATATACGAACTATTTGATAAACAAAACATGCGCATTTCATTCCTTTAAAAAAATGAGATTTTTCGCTATGCTCCATATTAACTTAATAAACAAACCTATGATTTTGTTCCGTTTGTTTGACTTTAATGTCCTATTAACAGCTATAGTCTACAACAAAGGTTTTGAATAGACACATTGTCAGATAATAAGCATGAGTTGTTGTTTTTGTTAGGAACCAAATATTAAATGATGTGATGCAAAATGCATAATAAATAGAACGTCATGTAAAATGTTCAGAATTGAAGCTGTGGTAAATCCACAATTTACCACGAAGTAAACACGGTACCAAATTTTATGTTATGTATATAAATATATTTAAACTATCGATCTGAGAAATAAAATATCTGGTCAAGAATGAAGATAATTCACAGAAAGTTTTACAAATTACTCGGTCCACATGAATGCTGAATGAATCTTTGTGTACTAGGATATACACTAGGACACACATTTTCTCACCGGTCTAAAACCTTTATATGTTTGATATCAGAATATTTGCAGTGTATATAATTAACATAAGCACTTACACTTAATTAAATATTCCGACGGAATGAATGAATAAACATAGTATCAACACGTTCAAAATGATATATGATTGAATAGTTTATGGAAACATTTTTATGTTAAACTGTAACCATTTCATCATATCGTTTTACACTTTGTATTCATTTATTGCTTCACTGCCCAGGACAAATGTGCGATCACCATCAACATTAACGACACTGTTCATGCTACATCTGTTAAATTTCTAACTTAAAAAATTAGTCACAGTTATAAAATTTCAATAAAATAATTAATTTGTCCCTTGTACTTTTTTTTATTTTTTTTTGTCAAATACTTTTATTTCTCTTTTATCGTGATCTTCTAAGTGCATAATTTCTCTTTAAAGAAAGAAAACCCCACTTTCTAATGTGAAAAAATGATAATAAGCGATGGAAAAATTCAAATAATACTTATTTCACAAACAGTTTCTGAAAACAAATTTAAAAATATGCATATATATGATTTTTTTATTTATTTTTCGCTATCGTCCTATCCATGTAGTCGATATGAAACAACGAGATAAATACAAACTAATAACAAAAAAAACTCAATATATTTTGATCAAAATGATTTTATTTGCATAGAATTATTTTATAATTAGCAATACAAGCTTCAACAATCAAATCACATTTCCATTCTATTATGGAGCAGAAAGACAGCGATCAACAAATTACAAAAGAAAAATAAACTTCGATTTTGTCATATTGTTGTTTATATTAAATTTCAAAACAGCCGGAGGGAAACAATTTTAACCTCCAATATTTTATCGTCATTTAGATACATACATTTATATATGAGGTTGGATATAAAGAAGACTACCTCTACTGCCATACATGTATTTGTTTGTTTCGTTTTGACTGAGCGGGTAGATAAGGACGCTCTGAATTAATAAATCTTTATACACAATTTGATTCATTACTATAAACATAAAATGTTCGAAAATACTTTATATCATGTTCTATTCTATAAATCATAAACATATCTACTTTCTTTATTTTCTTAAACCTTTATTATCACACTCAATCTGAATTCAATAGCCATATTTAAGAATTCGTTTTTTTTTACAGATGTGATCTACACAATATCTTGTTAAAAGGACGATGTAATCAAAAATCAGTTAAATATGTCATTAAGTATGCGTTCGCATGGTAATACTCTGATGTTTATAATACTGATAATCGGTTCACGTGTAACAACCGGAATATAGGTATGTATAGACTATATACGGATATATCAGTACAATATTACATATTTATCGTATACAATCAAGTGCTTTATTTATTTACAAACTGTATATCTCTAGTTTGCTATTGGATAGCAGACACTTACAGAGAAACATACACGCACGTGCACGCTGGTGTTATAGAGGAGGTACCAATGATGTCTGATCAAAGTTATATTTTCAATGCTAATGTTTTCCCGTTCATTTTCAAAACATTCCTAACATAATGTATATGATACGCACCATAACAGACATATACTTATTAAATTCATATTTCGTATTTATTATCGTATCGTCATATGTCGAAAGATATATGAATTTCTCATCAATGCATTACTTATGATTTATACGGTTGAATATTATCAAATCAATACATAAGCAATGCTATTGTGTTGATGTCGTTAATGTACCACAAACAACTGGCCGAGTATGCCGCTGATAAATTGCAACACATATGGCTCAAAAGTTTTACCTGTATTTATTTATTATTCCATGAATTATATTCCACTCGGTGATAGTAATAATTCACTAACACGTTGTATGCCAATATCTCCACTTAATCGTTCGTCTCAAAATTCATTCATAAAAATATTAAAAATTTCCAAAGTAATGTTGTGTCCTTATGTTTATACTTTGCTTATAATAACGCCCGTTTCTATCACGGTAAATCCCGCGGTGCTTGATACAGTTGGATGGGTAACCTAGGTTGTGACATCCGGTATTGTATGGTGCTGCCATGTTACATGTACCTAGGTTTTGACATAGGTCATTTTGGAATTCGATCCTTGCTGGGTTCACAGTTAGGTATAAATTTCGCTTCTTTTTTCCACTTCATGCGTCGGTTTTGGAACCAAATTTTAATCTGGCGTTCCGTCAGACATAGCACATGTGCAATTTCAATCCTTCGTCTTCTGGTCAGATACTTGTTAAAGTGGAACTCCTTCTCCAGCTCTAACGTCTGGTAGCGTGTGTACGTCTGCCTTCCCCGTTTGCGATTTGGACCTGAAATCAAAACGAATTTGTATTTATGGTGAAATATTAGCCGTAGTAACCGCCATGTATCCACATGTTTATAGCCGTTCTTCTATCCTTTACTACCGTAACACAGGACTGATGCTCCGCCCCGCTACCATTTTATGACAATTCTTAGCTGTAAAAATGACGATTTAGTCTAAAAATACTAGCCATTACTGTCTCGTAAATGGCCTCTAAAATGGCCTCTGGCTGCCTCTCGCTACTATATCTTCCTCCAATAGAAACAAAACGTAATTTCTATTCCCGTGACGTTTATGACCATCACGTGGACTATAACCTATGAAATAAATGACCCGAAGGTATAAAATTTGGCAAAAAGCGTCGAAGGTTAAAATAATTTAGGCTTAATTGGCACACGATGCTGAGATTATAAGGCAGCTTTAAATCGTTTAAGTATATGTTAATTGGTGGCCCTGAATAAAGTACTACAAAGTTAAGGATGTGATGATTTGTTTGTTTATTCATTTATTATCAATTTGTTTTATTACTCCTGGTACGATAAGATCAAAATCTCTGTTGATTGACACATTGCATGCATAAAAGAATCTAGCTGCACATATTTCCCTAACAGGTACACTGTTTGTCGACTAGTGAGATATGTTAATTTGAATATAATAAAATCTTAGTTATCAGTTACTAGATTGCTTTAAAATATTAGCAAATTTTGCTATTTAAACCCTTACCTCGTATCCACGTTGTTTTCTACTTGTATTCCTAAACAAGGAATCTGGTATTATTTGATCAGGTTGTGAAAAGCAGCATATTGCTGTTTGGTTAATTATCTTTTCGTTTTTCAGTTTAGTTTAACTTACCATAAATGATCGAATTAAAGTAAAGGACATAACGACATTGCATTTCCTGAATTATTGATTCAGAATGAAAAACGTATGCTTCCTGTATTTACAAAAAGTGTCACTCATATCATTTCAGCATCGCAAACAATATTTTTTATTTTTTTTATTTTTTTTTTATCTTTTTTAAGATTTAATATCGAAAATGCACCCCTGGTGTTTTGGAATTTTGATGTGTTAAGTGAAGATAAGACGAGAGGTACGTTGCTTACTATAGGTTTGCATTATACAGTATGTACATTGATACCCATACATATAAATTATACTTAGTTAATGCTGTTATTGCAAGGTATATAAAGCATCTAAAGAACTTATTATTGATTGGCTTTGTGAATTCTTTACATTGAAAATAAATTCAGACTGGAAGGGGACATTTCTTGATTTTTTAGTGGTTTGTTTTCTTCTATATATGATGAATATAAATGCCTATGTATATGAGTTGTGTTTCGGAAAACAGACTGACCAAATTGACTTTTCATCCAAGGATAGAAGGGTTTACTAGGACTACTATCACTGTCCTGGCTCTCATCGTCACTTGTCGACTTCCTCTCTGCCAATTTGTCAATAGCGTCCTCTGACGGACTACTAACATCGGTTGACATAGAGACCGACCTTGGGAATACGCTAAGTTCTCTAATGGAGGTAAGTGGGAATTTATCAGGATCGTCTTTAGGAATACAATTGTGGGAAATGTTGATGCTGGAACTGGAAAAATCTTTCTGAAAATCTTTCACCATGGACGGCACTCTGTGGTTATTTGCACTAAATAGATGGGGATGCATGTATGGCGCTCTGGCTCCCGCAGGAGTAACGTCCATGGTAGAACTATATGAAACAAAATGCTGATGATAATATCCTTGGTTATCATGTAGACTATCTGGATGCCGAACTTCGCCTGTGTTACCACTTCCGGCATCGCACGTGCTTCCTGTCCTGAAGTACGATGGGATTGAGTTCGGCAAATACGAGTTGACTTTTCTATACATCTTACGAGAATAACTTTCCGCCAGTACAGACAAAGATCAAAGGCGTCTTGGATTCATTTCAACAGGGAACTGCTCGTAAATTGCCCGCCTCCGTCAGCATATCTGAAAGAGTGAAATTGCATGATTATAAACAATTGAGGTATACTCAGGATGCAAAAGCTACAACTAACCAAGAATTGTAGACATTACAAAATCGATTGGAATTGCAGCTGTATATTATTTTAACACTGAAGTATGATTAAGGAAAGAATGCATTAAAATAATTGAAATTATTTTCAGATACACTGTATTAGATGACATTGTTAGCTAGGTAAACTTGTTAACTACACATGGTTTGTTAGATTGAATTCATTCGTGGCATGGTTACAACAACCTGACACACATTGATTGATATCTGTGTTTTTAAGGAAATCAAATCTGACAACTTGAAACCTTATCCAAAACTATATCAAATTTAGAGGTATGATCGGAGAGATAAGACATAGTGAATTTGCCAAAAGATAACTAAATTTTCTTATACGCAAACCACTATCATTTAATTTTGTGTACCTTTAGTAAGATCTGTGTTATTGATTAACACAGGAGGTCGATTTATGTCGTACTATGGAGGTTAGAATATATATATCGATCTTCATACTATAATGTATAACCTACATTGTCATTTATAGTTTGCAATGTTTATCAGAACCATTGGATAATTCATATAAACATTATCGATGTTATTCTTTTAGCTACACTTAATGGATATATATTTAAGTAATTACATTGTAATAAAACCGTCAAAAATACATGTTGTGCATAGAATAAGACTTTTTAACATCAGTCATGATATAGTTGTTACATAAAAAATATGCTAGTGTAAACGTTATGGTGCATTCAAATTGATAGTATATATAATGGTGATTATTGTACTTAGGTTAGGAACGTAAGTACTGGTACTGTTATCTTTTTACCAGCTGATAAAGGTGTCGTGGAAGTGTTTCGATCATCTCAATAGGTTAACTTTTTAATAAAAAATATGTTTACAGGCCAAATGACTATGATACTACAGTCATTTTGAGTTACGTTTTAGTCATTGCACAGTTACATGCTGTCATTGTCTAGTATTAAGTTACATGTTAGTAATTCACAGGATACTTATCATCCTTGTAAATTTTCATTTTATAATTTTACAATAACATCTTATACAGATGCACGTAATACACACACCTATTTGCACCCAAATCGCATGGTAATTAATTCATTATGCCACACAATGAATGAATTTGACTGCACCATACAACTATTTCGTCTTCAAGGACTCATTGGCGGTGCTAAGGGCCAAACGGTTGGAATGCTGAATTGGTCTAAGCTGTTGTTACATGCTATCATATAGTAACATGTTATCATTGTACAGTTTCAGGATTTATTGTAAAGTTCAATGTTTTCGTAGTGCTGTTATGCCTGATCAGTAAATCTCGTTTATTGTTTCGGAATACTTTATTTAAGCATTAAACAATATTTAGTTCAATTCATAACAGCAAAAGTGACAAATCTAGTAACGCATGTAATTACCGATGGGACTAGTACTGTTACCAGAATGAAGTTTAATGCGTTGACGTTATATTTGTAATTGATTTCGGCAATACACAGATATTTAAATTTCGTACCTATTCTTCAAACGTTAGGTAGATTTTCAATCGACAAAACAAGCATTATTGGTCACCTGTCTTCAACCTTATTCTTATGACGTCACAGGTGACCTAACGTCACGATCTCATCTCAAAGTAAGTCTTAGAACTTAGAAATGAATTTGTAAGTGCACGTTTTGATATTTTTTAATGTCTTCCAATTGTATAAATGAATGCATTTCCTTCTGCAGATAATGCTGCTTTATTATTAGAATTGACGTGAGCAGGTATACTTTGTTTTCATTTTATCAGATAGGTTCAATAGGAAGCTAAATATTGCAATTATTGCTTAATGATGTAGTTTGGATGGCGATTTACTTCTATGTGGATTTCGTTACTTTACTGAAGATAATACAATATGACACCTACTTTTCAAGAAGGTCATTAAACATACTAAAAATGTAAATAAGTTATGTTTTATTATTGACAAAAAGTAAAGGAACGTCTTTGCATGATATAGGGGAACAGAGAAACGAACAAAGATAAATTACCGCATGATTATATCTATATTTATAACTATAGGTAAATGATAAATGTGTTATGATAATTCATTCAAATATGCTTAACGTGGTGTCAGAGGTTATTGATGTGTGGTAATATGCTGAATTAATTTATGATAAATGACAAAAGAGATATATGGCTTTTTCATTTATTCATAAATGCTTATTGTAAGTATGATAGAAATATGTGTTACTGATAAATGCAATGTATTGACGTTCATATTCGTCCAACAGTACTTTGTGTGACTGAGAACCTAATGCATTGGCCTTGTCAGGACATATGTATATGCTATGATAGGATGTATATTATTGAAAAATCAATACATCAGATTATGCTGACTTTTATATACAAGTCTGATAGGACTACCGGTGGTTGAGAAAGCAAACGATTGCCGTGATAGAACTATGTATGCATAGCCTTTTACATATATAATCCTGAGAATTTATATAAAATTATGATACATCTGATGGTGCTATATGCGACTAAGAAAGTTATACTCTGTCGAGTTACATTTGTAGGACTTCCCTTATGTACAATAAGACTATATGAGACTACGTAAGCAATAAGATGTCTTGTTAAAGACTTTAAAATTTTTGATTTGTCGTTGATGGGTATTTTTGATGAAAAATGGATTATTCTGTTTGATATGACATATTTTTGCAATAAAACATTCATTCAAGATTAAAGACTTACTTCAACATTAATGCAACGTCATTGACGTTTCGACATATTTTTGTTTTACAATCAAAGTTAACCTATGTTCTTACTGTTGGATCTAAACAATTGTTTTGTATATGCGCATTAATAACTATATACATCTGATAAACTCAAATACGTTGACACATAGTAATTGTTTTAGACGTATCAGATTAGCTGTGGGAGGCTATACAGAACATCAATTGCTGTATACATTATGAATAATAACATTCAAGCACTGTTATCATGAACTAAGTTATTAATAACATTAATATTAATTATTGTGGATGAGACGTAATAAAATGCAAAATTTATATTTAAATAATGTGAGTGAATACTTTGAAGCTATCATTACGATTTTACTTACTAGAAGTGTGGGAACTTTATCACATATTGCTACCCCTAGACATCAACAATGGTCAGAGGCAACAATTAAACACTTCGTGTTGTGTTTGTTTCCTTATCACAGTTTCCTCCCCTTCATCGCAACGACATGCATGCAAGAAATGCACCAATGCCACATCACAGATTTTGTACTTGAAATATTGTGGTGAGGCATTTGTATCAATGTACTCTTGTATACAAATATGTATAGTATTAAAAGATTTACCAAAATGTTGCCTTGATTCTTTTTAGTCTTTATAATGATAAATATAGTATTGAGATAATTGGTTTTATTGGTATCGACTTTTAGAGCTTAATTCACAAAACTATGACGTCATTGCAATATCGATTCTGTTTTACTCTTTCATAAACATCTTACTCTTGTGGCGTTAACGTTTACGGAAAAAAGAGATTTCAATAATACACCTATTAAATAGAAGTATATGTATAGCGAAAATCTTATAGTTATATAATTATAAGTTATACAGTATATTCACTTTAGAAAAAATAAACAATGATTGATTCTAGCTTTTAAAGTATGGCAAGTGTATTAAAAACTGCCTTCAGCAATGCACGTTACACGCATACTGGTGATTACATAAAATAAAACAACACTTTCAACGTTATCAAGTATTAGATATTGCTAAAGTAACTTCATGTTGATACATGTTAAACTCATTCATTCTTACTTTTGCTCATCTATATAAAGGTTAGAGTGATAATCGGTTAAAGTACTGTGCATTTATTAAGCACAAGATATACCAACTTAAGTCAGACAAAAACGTGAGATAAAAGCTAAATAAGGTTTAGAGGTAACATACAAATACAATTTCATCGATGCTAAGTCCTTATCATAGTATCATATAGAAATAAAAGGTGAAGGAAAGAAACCCCATACATTTCAGTAGATATTGGAATGATTGAAGGACTAGACTTAATATAATCTGTACTTGCTATAGTTATTTTATGGTAAGATTCCTTAAATGTGATGGTTATAATTGATTGAGGAATTACTATATCAATGTGGTTTATCTGACTCTTTTAATAACAGCTTCATTCAAATTCAAGGATGTTTAAGATGCACAGTATCTTCAAAGATGCAATATCAGTTTGTATACTTAAAAACAAATAAACTGGAAGCTTGGTTAGTAGTATAAACTTTTTATTCATTTTGGTTTACAAAGATAACCCATATCGTATGCGTGATATGCTTACGCGGTTATTGATGAAAAAACTCCGGCACATAATTAATTACAATGATATTGCAAATAATTAAATAATTAGATACAAGAATTGTAGAATCCATAAAATGAATTCGATACTGGCTAATGTTAAAACATGTTTACCTTTAACAGTTGTATATGTTAAAGAATCACATTTAGCAGTTAATGGGACAAATCTAAATATTTCTATGTATTGTTTGATACAAAAAAGATATTAGTTATGTTTACGAAACAGCCTTGTTGTGTTAACAAATGTATTAAATCCCCAACGAAATATTATGCTTTTACAGTATGATATAATTCAGCATATATTTTGTACAGCAATGGGAATGTACGATAGCACAAGAGTCAGAGCGAATGATATCCTACACTTAATGCCATATACACATTACTGCCAATGCTATGTTAAAATGAAGCCCTTGGCCCCCTCATACATCAGTTGAGAAATAAAACTACGCTTTTAATCACTCAATTACGGTTTACGACTCTCGCGGACGTAAACACAAATTATGACCCTCAATAAATCCACAATGCTATAAATATTACAAGCCAACGTGTACCTTGCAGAAATAACAAGCCCAATGCTATACTGCTCTAATGGTACATGTTTATTGTTCAGTTATTGA